ACAACAAAAATTAAAAAGGGTGTTTTGGAAGGATATTTCATAAAAGGGAGAATGCCGACAATAAATTTCTAAGTGAAAAAACACTGAATATAAATCTATATAGAAAGTGTAATCTAAAATCATACTGATGCGGTTGAACAGAAGAGAGCGAAGTTGTGAAAAATGAGTGTGTACCTTGGAGAAGTTTGAAAGGGACAGCGGGAGGTGGGGGTAAGGAAGGGAATTATAAACGTCACAAGAAAATGGAGAAAGGGTAAACCTTCAGAAAAGGTGTGAGACAGAAGAGATGGGCGAAACAGGTGGACGAGGGGCCTAATGGGAGGGCTGAGAGGCAGAATCTGCTCTGACAACGTCAGGTGGAGGAAAAACAGAAAGACAAAAGAGGAGAGCAGTGTTTACAAGATGATTTATGAACGAGGTCGGCCATGCCGCCGAACCGAGTGAGGCAGCAGATACCGGGAATCACAGGTGGGACTCACATAACGACCATGTGGGTGGCAGCTAGGATGGTCTTTTTGAAGAAACAAACAGCTGACTCTGGGATCCAAAGAGGTGAGGATTGGACTAAGGTTGTGTGTGTGTGTGTGTGTGTATGTGTGTGTGTATGTGTGTGTGCGCGCGAGTGTATGCGTGTGCACACACACATGCGAGGGCCTAGTAAGAAACAGTTTGATCTGGAAGTAGAACACAGACGGGGATTCATTGGAACCATGAATACAAGGCCGAGGGCTTAACAATTAATAAAGTTAATAAAATTCTATTAGCTCCTCATTTGCTGTGTCTCTTAGGTTCCCATCCTCACTTCCGACTACAGCCACTGTGGACCCAGACCCCAACTCCTAGTCAGGTGCCCTTTGGCAAGATAGAACTTCTCTGAACCCCATATAAGAGCCAGTTCACTGCAATTATAGGGTTTTTGCCAGGATGAAATGAAGTAATGAATGGAAAGCACTTAGAACACAGTGACTGCACATGGTGAGTACTCACTCGTCGTCTGGCTGTTATTATGAGCTCCTACAGCTAGTACAGGAGCCAGACACTAGACACGACACTAGTCTTTCTATAGCTAGTGTCTCTCTCAAGTTCCCCAAAGCTCTGCTTTCAACACTTCCCTTCTTAAGAACCTACAGTGACTTTCCCCTCTCCCTCCCCCCATATTCCACCAGACAGGTAACTCTGTGAGGAAAAAGACTTTTCTACCTTGTTCATACTGCCTTCTCTCTCCACCCTAACAACTCTCTTCATTTTTTCCCTCTTGCTGAGACAGGAGAATCAGCTAGTCTACCACCTACCCACATATCTTACTTCACAGTGGTATGTCAGGCTCCTATTTCTTTCTTTCTTTCTTTTTTTTTTTTTGAGACAGGGTCTCACTTTGTTGCCCTGGCTAGAGTGAGTGCCGTGGCATCAGCCTAGCTCACAGCAACCTCAAACTCCTGGGCTCAAGCAATCCTCCTGCCTCAGCCTCCCAAGTAGCTGGGACTACAGGAATGCGCCACCATGCCCGGCTAATTTTTTCTATTTATTTTTTAGCTGTCCAATTAATTTCTTTCTATTTTTGGTAGAGATGGGGTCTCGCTCTTGCTCAGGCTGGTCTCGAACTCCTGAGCTCAAACAATCTGCCCGCCTCGGCCTCCCAGAGTGCT